TCCTCACTAGTGTCTCAACCAAAACGCCCGACCAAAACACATCAAGTCCACCAAGTCCACCCCAGTCCATGCGGCAGAACGCCCGTTTCGCCCGTTTCGATCCTCCGGGGAGGATAAGCAGCGGGAGATGTTGGCGCGAATGGAAGGCCCCGACTGGCCGGCGGCCGACTGGCCACTGAGCAATGCTGATGCACGGCATGTGGGTGACGCAGAGGAGAAATGAACAGGGTCCAACCAACAGTGGTCGGGTTTTGATGTGTTCGTTGGTTTTTTCTTTCAGCCCACCGACGTCGCGAGCTTCGCCGCGAGCTTCGCGCGTGTTCACGCGCGGTCGTCGCTTCGCCCATGTCTGCTTCGTGAGGACATCATCCACACCGGGGTGGCCTCCTTGCAGCGTCGCGTGCCCAATGGCATCCCAATGCTTCATGAGACCAACGATGAGGCGAGGAGCTCGTCCGTCCGTCCGTCCGTCCCAACGTGGAGCGACGGGTCCGACAACGTCGTCTCCAGTGTGGGGTTGGAGCTGGGTAGGGATCTTCCTTCTGGGAGTGTGTTCTCTTTGACCTCCTTAGCAGGGGTCGGGGTGAAGACTTCGGGGGGGGTCCGAAGAAGGTCTGGGTGAAGACTTCGGTCTCGCTCTCAGGTTTGGTCTTCTCCCCCATGCTTTTCACACCGCAGCGGTAGAAGCGGCACCACCCAAAGTTGCGTTTTTTTTGCTCGGGGTGCCATGTTTGGGCGAGTGGTGTGAGCTTCGGTTGATGAAAAAGAAGGCATGGGCTGAAACGAACATGTTTTTTTGAAGAGACGTATCTTTCTGGTTGGGGCGGCAGGTGATCGAGAGAAAGGTCAAAGTATGTCCGAAATCGAGTTGATTGGCTTCTGTTGGACGTGTGTTGATTTGCTTCTTGGATCAATTCTTCTGTATACTTTCAGTGAAGTCATTTGAACCGATTGTATATTCATAGGATTTTGTATGATCATGCATGATAGTAAGGTTGACTCAGGTGGTTTTAGGTGATTCGAGGATATTTGAGGTATGGCACCAAAGCATGAAATCGAAGTGAAGTAGTGCTGGATCGCAAAACGATTTTGCAACAGATCGACACAGCGGGAGTTTCAGGTAGTACATGATATATCATCCTGTTGCTTTGCTTTAGATCTCCAGATCACAGCGAGAAAGTCTCCTTTGACCTTTCTGATTCACTGGGCTGACCAAATTCTACAGGTCACCGAAGCTGAGGATTATATAGCTGAATAGCCCAAACCGACACCACATTGTAGCCCAAAGCCCAAACATCCAAAACAACCCCTCAACCATGCCGGAGAGGCCCGTCCTCTTGAGCCTCTCCACTGCCTCTCCTCTCCACTCCACTTGGTGGAAAAACCGACTTGTTTTGCGCATGAGGCGGCCCTAGAGGCCCTGGTGGCGGTGGCCGACATGATGCCGCACGCCTGCGAAATGACGGGCATGGGATGATGAGAAACGACGTTGGAATAGACAGGTGGATGGGGGCAAAGGCGGCAATGTCCAAGTGTCCAAGAGTCTAGCCTTTACATAGCTAAAGAAGCTACTAGTAACAAGTGCCACGCTAGTAGTAACAGGTGCCTTACTAGTAGTAACAAGAAGCTAGTAGAAACAAGTGCCTTAGCTTTTCTATTGGCAGGGGTCGAGTTTGCCATCCTGCCCGCAGTGGATCCACAGACCTCCGCCTTGGCGACCCTCCCCAGCAAGCAAAAAGACATCATTCAAGGCACTCGCGCTTATTGCACACGTCCCACTTGGGTGTCATCAGCTTGGGGAACAATGCAGAATCCGCCTTTCTGTACAGATGTTCAAGGAGGAGATCTATTCCCAACTGCAGAACACGTGCTCGACTCTACAAAGAGTCCATGTTAAGTCCTGATTCTCCTTGATCCTGATTCTCCTGGATTCTCCATCTCAAGGACCACTTGAACTGCCGCCTGGGGCAGGCGCTCCTCACTCTGGATCGATCCGACTCCCTGCTTCTGAACACGAGGAAGATGGATCTGAAACCTATTGGTACCTCACAGATTGGATCTGACACCTATTGAAACCAATTGGGAACAATGCCTCTCTTTTTCGGTACCAGCACAGACTGAGCAGAAAAGAAGACTTTCTGGTCACACGGGTGTCGGCAGCACGCGGAGCAAAGTGCTAAGCATCTAATCCTGATTGCCACATCCCCACAGCCCACAAAGCTGCAATTCCACATGCCCACACCTCTTTGAACCAATCACGGAATCCGGAAGTGGATGGCATGGCCCCGAAAGGAAGACCAAACAGGTGGCGTCATCCATCGCCTACGTCAGTTTGACTGTTATTCTTTGGGGGAGGGTGATAACACCAGCCACTGTTCTCCCCTACTCCTCTCTTCTTTTCCTTTCAGGAAGTCTCCTTTGCCCAGTTGTTTGTCGGACAGTTTCGAGCTCGCACACTTCAGGTTTTGCTATGCAAAGCTGATGGATAGACGCTGGGTTCAAATTCAAATCCCGGCTTTTGGTCTTTGAATGTGTTGTGTCATGTGTTGGAGTAGGGTAGTGGGTAGTGGCGCGGTGCTAAGCCTACTCGCCTACTCATGTGATTTTTTGCCCTGGTCTTTCAACGGCGAGGATATGTTGAGAAGGTGAAGAAGTCACAAAAAGCAAAGAAGGAGGCAAGAAGCTTGGCGTAAAAAGAACTCGAGACAGAGCAGCCTCAGCCACGAAACTGATGCGCATCATCGTCGACTAGCCTGGCGAGTTTTTCCTCCTCCATAAGTGCAAAACGACAGAACCTGCTTTGCACCTCCTTTGATGGGTTACGGTCACGTGGAGACTCCTCCGACCAGTGAAGTGGTTAATGGTCGGTCGAATTGTGATTTTTTTTCTCTCTTGACACAGCTGGAAAACGAAGCATGGCAAAAACATGGCAAAAAACACATCGGAAAAAGATGGTGCATGTGAAGACCTAAGACCTATACCATGTTAAGAGGCCAACCCAGCAGCCAACAAGCAGCCAGTGCATCGCTACTAGTAACAAGAGGCTATTAGTAAGACAACTCTTTGGCCTCCTGACTCTACCGTTGTTGCAAGACTTTGCCTAATTGCGCAACCTCTCTCGATCAACATGAGTGAAAAACCCTCGATCAGACACGAGTTCAGCTGGTTGTATTCAAACGAGATTTCAAGACAACTAGGACTCCATTATACAAATTGTATGGAATGGGTATGGAATGGGTATTCCAAGGTCCTCTCAACAGTTTCTGTCAACATGTTTTCTCGTTTTCCAGGTTTTCTCTTCCATTGTCCTAAGGAGACGTGGAAGTTCGAAACAGCCTCCTGAACTTTGGGAAGACGGATCTTTCTCGGCCCTTCGGTTGGCTCCTTGGACGAGCTTCATGCTGTTCCGGAGACACACATCACCGGGAGAGTGGCAACTGCAACTTAGAGATGTTAGGGGTAGTCTGACAGGGGTATTTGTTACATGGTATTTACTGAAGGATAACAGCAAAAGCACAATCTCTGCACTTTTGGTCGATTCATAGACCCGCGTTCTTTCCAGTGCTGCGATTTTCTAGGTGGTCTATGTAGCATCCAGCAGCCTTTTTTGTTTTTGCAGTGTTGACCGTGTTTCTTGGTGGTTTCAATTTAGCGAGTTTCTTGGACAGCCTGAAGCTTTGGAATGTGGTGAAGGTACCGTTTCGTCGGGTTTTGAGCTCCAAGCTCCGCTGTTGGAGGACTGTCACTCATCCGCATGGAATTTCCTGTCATTTACTGCTTCCTTCCCCCATGGGTAAGACTACAATGATGACTACAAGCATGACTTCAGGCAGTTTCCATCACCAGCATCGTGGCAAGAGCATCCTTTTGCGCACCTCGGCCCGACCACGACTCCAGGTTGGCCTCAGCGCTTCCACCGGCGGACGGCGCCGCCGCGCCCGCGGGGTCTTCCGCCGCGCCCGACGCGGCGGAGGCGCTGAGCGGCCTGGCCTCGCTGGGCAGCAGCCTGGGGGGCTTCGGCGGCCACGCCGAGCGGTTGGACGGGGAGCAGAAGGAGCTGCAGGAGGAAGGCGGGGGTCAGGGGAGGGTCAGGGGGCGGGTGGTATAGGCGTCATGCTCAATGATGCTCAATGTGGGGGGGAGTGGTGATGGGTTGAATGGTATAGATGGATGTCGTGGTCTTCAATGGGGGAACTGGATGTTTGGTCTTCATGGCTCGTCTCATCTTAGAAGAGAAACCCTGAGTCTTGCATCCAGTCATGTCCAGCCACCGTGGCGATGGGCCAGGTCAGCCGCACTATAGTTATAGTTTTCCCTACTTTTTCTTAGCTCCTACTCAGCTACTCTTGGTCAACGGCTTGCATTTTCTTCTTTCCTTGTGCCACCCCACCGGTGGGCCTTTTCCCTTGCAGGCAACGATCGTTGGACCGCAGCTCAGCCCATCTACAATGACGCTGAGTTGTAGCTCGCGCAAGCGCCCCAAAAAAGCCAGCGCTGCTCGCCGACCGCGGCTTCCACGTGTGGACCGATGGTTTTGCCAGCGGGGGTTCATCCAGGTTTTCCCCAACCACGTTTTACCTTCAGGTTTTTCTGGTTGTACACGCAAGTCGTTGAAACAAAAGACCCAGAAAAAGAAGCTGGTGCGGAGCACTCCTGGCTCCGCATGATTGGCTTTGACAACGACTCTCAGGCACATGTTTACAAAGGCGGATGTGTTTGGGCAAACTCCCTGCACTGTTAGAAACTGGAGCCAACCTGCTTGGGATTGGAGTGAAAGGCTGGCAGAAGGGGGTTCTTCTTCCTCACGCCAAAGCATTATTATAGCTGTTGTCCAGGTTTTTTTGTTCTTCAGGCCTTTTGTTGTCAATTGGATTTGTCGCATGCCTTCTGTGAATTTCTGTGACTTGTGGCACCGTTGCTTTGCTGGGTCACAAAATACACCATATTACACCGAAACAACAACCAAACGGCCTTAAGAACAAAAATGACGCCGTTGGCAGGTCTGGAGCGTGATTCAGGAGATGCAGGCTGCTGGGGTGAAGCCCAATCAAGTCACCTGCCGGGAATCCCAAGCCGTCACGCTTTTGCGTGCAAAACCGATCCATGGGTGGTGTGCGCTTGGCTGGTTCTCAAGTGTTTTGATGTGCTTGAACTGGCTGCAGGTGCTGCAGCCAGTTCAAGCAAAACAGTCATCAACTTGCACTGTCTGCAAGGTCAAGCCTCCCTCCCTTCGCTCCCGACCATTCCAGCTTTCGGAAACCCCCTCCACGTACCGATCATGTCTGGCCGTCCATCCATCGTCCTCCAAAACGGATGGGAACCAGAGCGCTTCCGACGGAGTCGCGGCGGTCTGCGCGAGGGTTCGACCCTTTTGACGTCCCGGCGTGGACGTCGATGGAGCGTCATGCTGACTGAGGAAAGGTGGATGATGTGGATGACCTCCAAAACCGGTTTTGACTCTTAAGTCTTGATTTGTGACTGTTTTTTGCTTGGTAAATCTGCCAAAAACCAACAGGTGGAGAAAAAGGTTATAAGCTTGATGACTTGATCACTCAGAGTCGACTGAAGGCTCGATCCTGCTGAAGAACCTCAACAGTTCCTCTTCAGAGGTCGATATCGACCAAACGTGTGTGACTCAGAGTGCTGGACCGGCAGGACACATCCAACGACCCGGCAGGACACGCCACTAAAAGCAGCCATAAACGATCTTGGGCAGTGACTTGTAACAACCAGCCAACAACCAGGCAGGACAATGGTGTTAACAATTGTCATCTTTGGATATCTTTGGTACAGACGCTTTTCTTTGTTCTCCCCCCCAAATCATCCTGCGAAAAGGCTGAGACCCACCATCCGGCCGAACAAAAGGACCATAGGCACTGTCTTTCCTCCAACGTTTGGAGAGTCGTTTGAAGAGGTCCTGCGCTGGTCCTGCCGGGAAACGCCGGTACCGAAGGAGGTGCGGCCAGTAAGACGACTCGAATGGACGGCCATCAACGCGGACGGCCAGAACTCAATGTGACGGCCGACGGCCGGACTTCCAGTTTTTCGTTGGGATGGCTCCATTGGCCAGGTTAATGCGTAAAGAACAACTCGACAAATTTGTGCAACAAATATATAGACCTCTCAGGAGTCCTCCCAATGTGTTCTTTTTCTTGTAGCCTTGCTGCTGAGCTTCCGAGAGTTTCGCGTGCTTGCATGCTTGCGGCCGGGAGCTTCGCTGGGAGTCAAACTTTAAAGCCCTCGTCATCTCGTCGTCTTCCGTTGATGGTCCAAACGTTTTTCGGACCACGTCCACGGAGGAACTCCGACGAAATTCTCGAGGTCGTCTTTCGGATCCCTCCGTCTCGGTCGAGCGAGCGTGTTTTTTTTTTTTCTGAGGATGAGCTTGATCAACGGCATGGAGGAGCAGTTGGATGAAGTCTTGCTCTCTTCCGTGGCCGAACTGGTATGATTTGCGGAACGATGTTGGCATGAACATGTCACGTTCTGAGAACGAGGGTGATCTCGACCCTGACGAAAGGTCATGAAGCATGACATAGCATGACCCTTGCTGGGAACAAGCGAAGAAGCGCGTAGTGGTTCAAGGTCAGTGAGGGTTCTTGGGACTTGGTTTTAACATTTTACCTGGCAAAAATGGGTTATTCAAAAAGGTACCCTTTTGAAGGAGGACAAAGGGGTTATTTCAATACCGGGCAAATTGGCTATTGGGACTTGGGAGTAGGGGACAAAGGGGTTATTCAAAAATAGGCAGATTGTGGTGGAATCGTACTGCTTCCAAGTTAACATGCAAGGAACGGGATTGGACAACATTGGACAAAGTGTGTGTTGGACCATGTTGCTCTATGGGATTTGGTATGCAACAAACCAATCCAATCCTTCCAATCATCCATGGGCACTTCCTTTTCGAAGTACGTCGAATCATGATGTCCTGCTGACAGATTTATTCCCAACTCCCAAGACCCAGCAAAACCAGGTCCCTTCCCTTCTTGAGGAGTGTTTTTGTATGACCAACTGACCAGTAAAATGTGGTCTTTGACCTGTAGGGATTGAATTGATTGCCACCAATCTAATAGCGATGGCCTCCACCCTACTAGCGATGGCCTCCAACCCTACTAGCGATGGCCTCCAACCGAATAGCGAGATTTATTGAATTGATTGCCTCAGCGTGCCAGGTAGAGGCCTGCGTGAGAATCGGCAAGCCCGACCTCCTCAATACCAAGCTGAGGCGTTTTTTCTGTGAGCTGACCGAAGCGACGTTTCGTTGTGAGCTGAAGTAGCAGTAGGTCACACTGTAAAAGAGTGGCAAAGGGTTGTGGATTTGGTTTCAACATGTCTCAACCAACGGAAAGGGATTGGGTAAATCATCCGGTTTCGATTTGTCATCCTCATCCTCTGCGTGTGGAGATTGGTTGCTGGAGTGGGTCTGTGCCACCAGCTCAGAGCGGTGCCGTAGGTTTGGAGATCCAGGGATCTGCAGGGTGCGTTTGATCCCCCCCTACGTGGAGGGGTATCCACCGTATGAACCCTCTGAAGCTGCAGAGGCTTTGGGGGACAGGAACTTCGTATGTGGCTAACACCGACTTGCAGGATTCCAGTGGCATAGCATCACACTGGCAGAATCCAAGTTGGCTGAATTAATCCCTCGCTCTCGCGGTGAGTCCACTTTCCAGGATGGCGAGCCATGCAATGCAACCCCCAAACAGAAGCAAACCTGTCCCCCCCGCAAGGCCGTCGGCCAGTTCAATTGAACCCGGTCACAAACACCCCCCACCCCACCCGGTCAAGGCTACCTCCGTTCCGCGAGCCCCGGACTCGGACCCATCGAGGCAGCTGATGTCCGGGGATATCAAGGTGAACGGCTCTCACACCTTTGGATCGTTGATCAAGGCAGGTGAGTGACTCGAGTGACGCGTGACGGATGTGACGGCTCTCCGCTCTCTCCGCCATCCTCGCTCGCTCGGAGCGCCGTGTTTTGAGGGGGTTGGCGCTGGCTAAATCGCGGCAACTCGGGTGGCAAGCGGTGCGGGCGCAGCAAGTTTTGCAAATGGGTGAAGAACAGCAATTGGTTCATATCGGTTCGCATGTGCAAAGAAACCCACCAGGGAAAGGATTACTTGTTCCGCTAAATCGAAGCGAGCATCCGGTGAGCTGTGGTAGATTGCCTGGTAGATCCTGCCAAGCAGTCCAGTCATTTCTGGGGTCCCAAAGCAGTCCGGTCATCCTCATTGCCATTTGACACTATTGCATGCAACTAGGCTCGCAGGTCACTTCTTCTGGAGGACTGGAAGAAAAGATCTTTTGTTGCATTCTTTTGCCACGGCACAGGCCTATGGACATGCCCACGACATGAAGTCGGTGCTCGCCTTGGAGAAACCTAACAGAGTTGAACGAAGGCTTTTGAAGAACCGACGGAGTCGGCAGGGTCTGGTGGAAAACGGGGCATCCATCGAGGTTCTTTGGCCGAAGTTCTCAGGTACCTATCGTAGATTCTAGGGAGGGAGGAGGTTGTTTTGTTCTACATCAACCCGAAACCCCCAAACAAAGATAGAAAAGTAGAACCATGACGTAACACCCCTTTCAAAAGGTATTGGACAGTGTTTCTATCTATTTGGGGACCACTATATGGTATATAATCGGATTCTATGTCTGCCCTTGGAGGTTTTAAAGGAAGGTTCTTTGACCTCGAGGTCCACATTCGAGCTTCAATTTCGCTGGGAAGTCGCAATCCTCTAGGATTGTAGAGAAGGTTCGTCCTGGAATGTGTGAAGTCGCAGTTTCTTTTACATTTGCTATACACTAGAAGTCCAAAGACTATATTTTGACCGGCTGAAGTAAAGGAAGTTCCCTTTCAGGTCCCCTAAAGACCATTCTTGTTATAGTCTTTGACTCCCAAGGTATATATTGCAAGAGGAGTAAATGCTCAACCTTTCGTCGAAATGGGGGAGAGTTGAATTTAATTTGTGTCGAAGCCAGCCCCCCAGCTTCTGACGGGCTTCTCTGACAGACCATCTGACTCTTGAAAAATCGCCGATGGTCATGATAAGTTCAACTTTCTGCACTTCAATCTCTGCAAAAAGTGCTTGTGCATACTTGTCCATATTGGTTCATTTGTCAGAAAACCATTTCCACACCATTTCGTCCGATTTGCTTCGCTTGACCAATCTGAAAGCAGCCAAACCGAGGTTTGGCGATGCTGGAAGGAAATGCGAACACGTCCGGGGCCAAATCGACCGCTTCGTCGCGTTTCCGTGCTGCGACGAAGCGTCGTTGATGTCGACCGGTTTCGACCCAAGACATCGGATTCTTGTCAATCCTTCAAAGTGAGTGAGGGGAGGGAGGATGAGGGAGGTTGGATTTTGCACGCGACAGTCTTCGATTTTTCCACGTACACGGAGGTGCAGCCAACGGCGATTCCTCCAATGGCCACTTTTGTAGAGAAGGATATTGCCTGGGTTAGCAGGGCGTACTTATACTAAGTCCGCCATCCCCGGAGGTCGAGGACCATGCCTAGACCTCACAATGCCATCGTGACAGCCCCCCCAGCAAAAAGGACGACCAACAAGGACAGCTTTTCGCCGATGGGCTACAATAACCGACTTATGCTTGTGGCTGTTAAGAGAGCTTTTGGATTGGTTCATTTTCCTTTTTGCCGCCATAACAAGGTCACATCAAGCCCACCAGCATCACCGTGGGCTGCATGATCGAGGCCTGGGCAACGGTTCGGCGTTTCCGTTTCGGCGGCTCATGCAAAATCTAAGGGTTTGGATGGGTTTGGGTTGATTCGATGAATCGAAAAAAACACTCTCCTCCAACGACTTATATATCCCTCAAAGCACTCGCATTTCTTCCCTTCAACTCCATCACAGGGCGAATCCATCACAGGCCTTCGGGAATACGATGGATTGGAATTGGAGTTGAAGGAATTGGATGGAATTGGATCATCCCCACGCTGCAAGGTGCGCGAACCAAAAGCGCCTTTTGCTCCCCAACACGCCCTTCGCCTCTGCACGCTGCGCGTCCCACGACTGCGGGGAAGGCGGTGGTCTCCAACGGCGACCCCGATGGCGCCTGGCATTTGATCCAAGAGTTGGGCGAGGTGGGAACGGATGGGATGGTGGGAAGATGTGTGGATCTGTTTGTGTTTTTCGTGATCAAAGACTCAGTTCGTTGATTAAATGCATTGGCAAAAAGATTCAGGACATGATATAAACAGAGCCAGTGGCAAGACTCTCAAGATTCTTTGAAATTTGTAGAGCTGACATAGCTGAAAGGTCTCAAAAAAATCCCGAGTCTAGTGGGTGGGATTATATAACCGGTTGATTCTGGATTTCACTGTTGAAGATGTTGAAGGAGTCGAAGAAACTGTTTTTGGTGTGTATCCAAAGTACCAAAAAGATGACCACAATCTTTGCTCATTTTGTCCATGTTCTACCCGATGTTTGAGCCAGAAACCGAAGAAACACATATTAAATATATTTAACACATCTCTTACTGATCCAGTTCATTCATTGAAAGCGGATTCAGGCTGGTTTGCACAGGTCGCATGGGTAAAGAACTTTACAACTTGGGTAACTTTTGGTACTAGTAGCGTCCGTGCTCCATGAAGGGAGTGAACAAGCACAGTTTGGTAGTTGGGATTGGTTTTTTTGGATGGTAACAAAGGACGCTGCTAGGGGCTCCTAGCCTTACTACTAGGAACAATGTTTGCTACTAGGAGCATGGTTTTAGAGGGGCCCAGGCTCTTGGATGAAAGCCCTCTCACATCAAAACCACCAGTGAGCTTCTTTATACTTCGATGAACACGGCCTTTAGAAGACCAAACACTTGGCGACATCTTGCAAAGACCGGGTGCTGTTGTTACCGGACACGGGGCAACCCGGCAACAGGATCCTAGCTGCAAGGGCATCCTGAATGCCGTGATCTACTGCTCAGTCCTGAAGGCAGGGCCGCCAGCGTCGCCAAGGGCCACAGCAGGGCCCCACGATCCGACCGACCCAAAAAGACGAGGAAGGCAGCGATGCTGTCGGCGTGTGATTGGGGATGTTTGTTCGGTGCGATCTTTTTTGTTCGGTGAACTGGGGGGGGCAACAGAACATGGTTCCTCCAAAGGTGTTCTGATCAATTTTTGGCACGGTGCGGCTCAAACATGTCTTCTTCTTAGTGGCACTCAAACCATGTATCTTCAAGAAAAGGATCCCAGCTAGTGGCTTCCATCTTCCTTAGTTCTTCTTGGTTCCTTATTTCATTCACCCTTGAACTGTGTACCTGTTGAAGCCCTTCCCCCAACTCCCATGATGGGAAACGTGGGAAGAACTTCATGCGCTGTCCCTGGGCTTCACCAGGGCTTTACCCGTGAGAAGAATGCCGCCAAAGTCTGGGCCGTCTATGAGGCCGTCTATCCGATCGCGGAAGTCGCCGGCTAAGCGTTGTAAACCGGTCGCTGGAAGAACCGTGTGTGGGCGAAGGTGGTTGGTGGCGCGGAATCCGCGGCTTTTTTGGTGCGATTGTGAGTTTTTTGGCGTGAAAAACCAGGTCAAACAAACAGAAATTGGTCACTTAAGCCCTGGGGGAATCGGCAAGCTTTGACTTCTTCAGTTGCCGGGTCAATCTCGACTGTTTCTTACTTTGGTCAGATCCTTTAGTTGGTCCTTTTTTTTTCCGGGACTGCAAAAGGGCTTCGATTGGCTCATGCGTAATGCATGATTCGTACACTAGCTAATTATACATGTTGGGGGCCATTGCTAGTAGGTTGGAGTTGGAGGCCATCGCATCAGACTCGGCAGAGGATCTGTTCTCCGCCGATGTCACCCTGGTCGTCTGTAGGGGTTACCCCCTAGTTTGTCACCTTCTCCCATTGGTTGAAGGGAACATTTATTATAATCAGCGACGCTAAGTGGTGGATCAGATTGGAAGTGGTCTAGATCAGTAACTGTTTTTTAATGAAAACAATGAATAAATATATAAAAACATGAAATAAATGGTCAGCTGCTGTCAGCTGCTGTCAGTTGCTGTCACACAGATGACAATTGCGTGGCAAGTGTGTTCAAAAAAGAAAGATTTTGTTGTTGTCACACATGATCAATTGTGTGGGCTAGTGTGTCAATGGGTTGCTGAAAATAGAAAAACATAGTTTAAAATCTAGAGAAATCAAAACGAATATGTTAAAATAGTTTTTATGTTTTTCTATTTTTTGCTTTTTTATTTTAAACTGTGTTTTTTTCGAGGGCTCAAAGTGCACAAGAGCGTGCATATTTTCGGCCCCAGAACTCTGCGTGAGTTCGACGTCCTTTTTATTTCCTTACGTGTGCCATCGGAGCATTTGGTTGGTGGTGAGGGTGCCAGCTGCTCGGGGTGAGCATAACGGGAAAGCGAGCAAAAAGCCCGAGGTGGCATCGGCGGCAACGGACAGCCAGATCCAAAGCCCGCAGGCTCATCAGGCAGAGCAAAGGGGTTACTCACCTGCCCCAATCCACAAGAGAGAGAGACTGGTGAAGGCTCGAAGGCTTCTTCGAGAACACCACTCGTACGCAGTGCCAGCTGGACAGCCAATGGGTGGATGGTCTGGCTCAGGCAAGGGCAAACAAAAGCCATGGTGGAACCATTGGCAACAGCAACAAGCGCCTCAGGGAGGTCCCGAGAAGAAGCCGGACAAGAGCAAAAAGCAAGAGAAGACAGACCAAGGCAAAAGTGGAGGAGACTTGTTCCCTACTTACGAGTCCTTGCAGGCCTCCTCGTCCTCTACCAAGGAGGCCGCCTCCAACGAGGTTGCTGCACTGAAGAAAGAGGTCAAGCAGTTTTTAGAGGCCAGGTCCATCACGATCGACGACCACCTGACGGAGCTGCTTCAGACCGGAGACCCTATGGAAGATGTCAGACAAGAACAGAGGGCTCTCAACCTAAAGAAAAAACTCCTGGCAAAGATGGACAAACTTCGGTCGAAACACCAGGAAAAGCAGGAGGCATGGAGCAAGTTCCTAGACCTCCTAGAGGAACACAGGAAGAAGGAGAAGGTCAAGCATCAAGAAGACCTTCGGATCCTCAACGAAGCGATGGCCGAGACTCAAAAGGAGATCAACCAGATTGTGCTCAAAGAGTCAACATCGGTTGCCGACGCCGGCATGACTGCAGAAGAGAGAGAACGAGAACTTCTACGCATGCAGCTGGCGAAATCGAATGCCATCATACAGGATCTCCAGAGCAGAGTGGACTCCTATGTTGCAGCGATCCCAAAGGGAAACCATGCATTCAACGAGAACTCTCCACAGATGATCAAAGAGCCATCGTTGTTTCTGCCCAAGGAAGAAATCGAGCAGTCGGCTGCGGCAAGAGCTGCGAGGGCAAAGCTACTCCAACGTGCAAGCGTTGCCCTGGGAGACGTTCCAGTCCCCGTTCGCTCGAGAAGTACGAGCAGAAGCCCAAGGCGCGATGGGTCAAACTCGCTCGAGAGACTGGACAAATGAGTAGTATAAGGTGCGGCAAGACAAACTCACTGATGTCTGCCAACTTTACCACTAGTTGTTGTGACGGGAGCTATCATGGTCATGAAAGTTGCTTTAGTCACCATAGATATGAATCTCACATCTTACAAGAATGTGGCGCCATATTGAAGGCGACACCTTGCAGATGTTGGGAAGAGAAATTGATCGCTTTTAGGAATAGAACTTGCCTTGTAGTGGATACAGAGGATTGCCATTTGTCTGCATCCGACCAGTATGAGGCAGGTCCCAGGTGTCTCAGCGATCCTGACTTGCTCTTCGCCAGTGGGTCAAGCAATTGTGGTGCTAATGGGGACTTGAATGGCACTATGAGGCTTGACGGAGACATCGGTGGCATAGAGTTGAAATTTGAAGAACTCGAATGCCGCAGTATGTCAGACACACCCTTTTTCGCAGGTATGAGCTTCATCTTTTTGTACGCACTCTGCGACCTGTTTCGGCGAACATGCCGAATTACCAAAGCGTATCTCCTTGCTTGCCTTCTTAGAGGTCCATCAAACAAGGGGAAATTCACTTACTGGGCCACCATGAGCTTTGTCTTAGGTGTGACTATCCAGATAGTGGTTTATCAGATCATGGTCATTGGCGGTGTGCGCATCCAGCCGGACCAGGTTTCGACAGCTCTTCAGATCCAAGCCGCTCTTTGGTCGCTAGGTCTGTTTTTCAGACTGAAATCGATCTGGAGACGTGAGCTAATAGGTCCATGCAGAAGGCTCAGTGATTCACGCAAGTCTGCTATTCGACCTAAGAGAAACTCAGTCAAGCTGAAAGCTGTATTGCTCCTTTTCCATATAGTAAGTTCACACGCCACACAAGTTTTCCAAACGTGTGAACAGGGGACTATGACAGACAGGAGCCAAGATATAGAGGGTAGCTACTATGCCAATCAACCCCCAAGTAGTTTCGAGAGTCCTGATGCTTGCGATGATGAAGCGACTGTGCCTAGTGATACTGAGCCGAGCACCTCTAATTATGCAGAATACAGTGGGGCACAGACGGGATCCTTGGAGCACGAACGGGAAGAGGAGAGCTCGGCCCTACCAGAGGCCGTCTCCCCAAGAGATTCTCCCCCCCTTTCTCAGCCTTGCGAAGGGGGGTGTAGACTACGGACTCCCGACGGAGACACTGAAGGCCAGGATCGATCGTCCTTATGCTGTGCAGCCGAGTCGAACATTGATAGAGACTGCCAAGGGAAGCATATCGATAGTAGATCCGCATTTTTGGGCAATTTTGTTTTCGGACCAAGAACACAAGATTCTTTTGGTTACGAAGAAGGTCATGACATTTCGGAGAGCAGAAGCAGAGCCGAATCTATTGTGTTCCAAGAACTACCTGTCCCGGCTAAGGTTTGGTTTGCACCAGAACACAAGTGCGCCAGCAATGTCAGAGATGTTGTTGTGACTAAGGACAGTTTCGGCAACATCGCAGATGTCGTCTGCGATGTATGGAAGGATTTTCTTTCATATGAACAATGCTCATTCCGAATGGTTTGGCCACAGCCTGACGAATACACATACCAGAATGTATGGCACTTCATAGTGTTCAAAAGCACTGGGCCGACGGCCATACTGCTTCAGAATCATCTTGGAGTTGCCGAGGACAGCGAGCAGTTAGAGTTTTGTGCCTGTGCCCTTGACACACGGCACTCCTTCAGAGTTTTTCATGAAGCCAGACAACAAAACAAATGGCAAAGTGGACGACTCATTCAAACTTATACTGCTGACGGGAAGAGAATCTGTGGTGAGCGAATGGGGGAATGTAGCGACGTTCCTGGCAGGGATAACACTGCAACCCCAGGGCGAATCCAGGCTGCAGGAGAAGGCGACATGGGCTCTTTGATGCAACTCGAGGAGTTACAAGTTTCCACTATTCGAGCCATGAGATATGCCCACGCGGTACATCACGGACAGCCGATTTTCGAACCAGCAAGCTTTGCAACACAGAATTTTGTCAAAAAGGATGAGCTACGATCGTGGATCAGGCGAGTCCTTTCGTATCAAGGCGATGTCGTGGTGCTGGCAGTTTGGAGAGTCCAACATGATAGGCTTGTTGTGGATGAATGCCATCGGGTTAAACTCGATGGATCCAACTGGGCCAGAGATTTTCGACATGTTTGGAGAACGGATGAAACCTTCAAGACGCCAGTTGTGACAGCAGTTGAGCCGCAGCCACCAGTGATCAGCGGATTGGAACATATACAATTCCATGTTGTCGCGGCTGAAAACCGCTTTTTTCAGCCAGACTCTACAGCGCATCTGTTTGACATTTGGATGGCAGAAGATCCGGAGCAAGGAACAGGACGGACCTTCCTGGCCAGACGAGCTGCAGTCATACGCAGGGCATCGACAGTGGATGAAATCGCACGGATACTCGACCGAGGCAGTAACAATGCGGCCGTGCCGTATGCCGTCTACTCCCAGAGAGACGGATATCAAAGGCAAACCTTCTGGAGATATAACAGGTTGGAAGTACCTGATTTCTCGTATATTGACCTAGTCTTTGTCAAAGAAGAGCGTTGACATCAAGGAGATAAAAGATGGTCATAGACCAATCAGAGTCGAGATCGGGGCGACAAGTGTCCCCGGAGGGGATAACACTGCAACCCCTGATGAACCTGAGATGGACGAATTTACATCCATGCAAACACAGTATGGTCCACGTACAGCAGCACAGATTGAGGAAGAAAAATGCTTCCTGCCGGTCCACAATTCCATCAGGCTATACAGGGGACGTGAAACATCATGGAGGCTATGGAACCACTTTGCGCAGGCCAGATCATGGACTCACCCTGGTTTGGACGAACTGTCTGTGTGGGCCTTAGTTGAAGGGAGCTATATACAATCGATTCCAGTTACACTGTTTTCCTCCCGAAGGAATAGCCCTACCTCGAATGA